GTGTGTGTGTGTGTGTGTGTGTGTGTGTGTGTGTGTGTATAGTACAAAGTATTTGTTTTTCCAGTGTGTAACCAAAATGAACTCCTGGATAAAGTTGAACAAAACCTGCAAAATATAATCGTTTGATTACAAATTAATCCTTAAAACATTTATAAAGCTTAGGTATAAAAGGTTTCAATATATATCAAGAGGAGCATCATGGTAAAATATCATTATGCTGCACTTGTGAAAGTAAAACTGTTGGGCTTCATTTAGACACTCAGACATCAATTCTGAGTTTCACATTGCCGGACCTGTAAAAAAAAGGACCTGTAATAAATAAATAAATAAATAAATAAACAAGTAAACAAACTGCAAAATATAATTGTAAAAATTTTACATTTACTGAGCTAGAATTCAGTGTGATAGTGGCTGAGACTAATCCCCAACATATTCTGAAGCAATAACTGTTCCAAAGTCATCTCCATCCACCTGTTAGCAAAATATCTCATGTGGGGATGCACGATACAGGCCTATCGGCACTAACGTCAGTATTGGTCCGGTAAGTAAAACTGGACTGATATTAACGTCCAATCTTGATTTCCTACATTTTTAGCTTTGTGTTTCTGTTTTAGGAGGGGAGATGCTTGGTTAAGAGGTACCTGTTTGATCATGATAGTAATATCAGTGGCGGATGGGATTATTCTGCAAGGGGCCATCATATTCATAGAGGGGCCAAGTACTTGTTCAGTATCCTTACACGCAAGTTGCTGTTTTTGGTCACACGTTTAAAAACGTGTAATTTTTWAAAAAAGCTTGCACAGTAAATTCTTCTTACCAATTTCACATGCATTTTACAGTGCATAGATAAAATACTCTCAAACACAACATGTGAGAGAATCATGTGAGACATTTCCTGCAGGATTGTTCAAATTTTAAGAAAAGAAAAAGACTGTCAGTTTGATTCATGCTGGACTTYTCTATTTGGCTCAATAACGCCCCTAGTGTTTGGACAAATAACTGCACTCAGCATCATCACTCTTGGGCAAAGGACAGATGAGTGACAGGACAGGGGCAATTCAGAGGGCCAATCAAATTTGAGTAGGGGCCAATGTCCCTGTGGCCCCGTCCCTGGATGGGCATCATATTGAACGCAAATTTGTGAATTTAATTGAATCAAAATGGTATCATGAGAGACTGTGATGGAGAAATATATCATCATCCAGACAAATCTGCCCTTAGAACTGGCTCTGAGTGAGTGATAGTGATAGTGACACTGCACAGCCAGGAATAACTGAAGCAGGGAGCCATGTCAGCGGTCTGGTCATTTTTTTAAGTGGATTTGTGCGTATATGGATATAAATAATTTGTGTATTTGTCTAATATCGGTAAATATCTGTTATCGGCCATAACACCAATAAAAGTATTGAATATCGGTATTTCAAGTTGGATTTTAACGAAAATGTCTTTTCTCTGAAAGCTCTCTGTCACAAAGTGACAATTATTTCAGTCAGTTTGACAATGGGCGTGCTGAAATTTGTCGTGGCAGTAGCTGCGAGTCATTCACAACACATACTTAAGAGTGCAGCTCATTGTGCAGAAGATTTGTTTTAAGCTTTAGCGTTAGAGCTTTGGGAATCAACCCGTTTCTTTTAGCAAAATATCTCATGATATGCAAGACGGGTTTTAATGACTCTTTCAAGAAATAGTCACAGGATATTCATCTAAAACTGATTAGGTTTTGAAGGCATGACGAGTCAAGACAATCACTGCACCTATAATAGAGTCCACTACAAAGGTGGTTGTAAATCAGTCGTTTTTACAGATATGGAGTTAAATTTAGGTGGTGGTCCGAAGTCATTCTTAACACATACCATGAGGATTAGACCTCATGATATCCATGTATTGTTTGCAAGGTTTATCACAACTTTATTGCCAAATTTAAATTGAGCTTAGCAYAAAACGCTGGCAGGAAAGTTAACAAGTTATGTAATAGAAAAAATTATTTTAGATGTGCGAATGATAAAAAAAAGTTAAAAACTCCACAACAAAAACAGTTTTTCACCTGATTTAAAACCTCCTTATAAACTTCATAAACTGTTTGCAGCGTTCAGCTAGAAAACGTCAAACCTCCTTTCTGTTGTGAAACCCGTTAACGTTTGGTTACAAAAGCCAGGATGAAAAGAAAAAAAGACTTTTCTTTGACTCGGAGCAGCAGCAGGCTCGCCTCTCAAGGTCTTCCTGGTAAAACACGAATAAAGAAAAGAAGAAACCTTTTTTCCACAAGCCTGCCTGACTGCAACAGATTAGAAGCAGAAAATATATTTTTTTCTTCTTTTCATTCTTGTGTTGAAGGTTACTGAAGCACCGGAGTAACACAGAGCTGAAAGCAGAGTTTGCTGAGGAACACGGTCTCGTTCAGCTGAAGCCTCGTCAGACTCTGTTCTCCTGGAAAACCAGAACCAAAGTCGTTTTCATTATTCTGCTGCTGTTTTCCTTCAGTCTCTATCAAGTCCTCTGGGAGATTGAAACTAAACCTACAATTAAAAAAACAATAGATTAAAGTGCCTGTGACATGCTTTTTCTTCAATAACAAAAAATTAAAGAAAATATCCTAATAATTCAGAAATTTGGCATAATTCATATGATTTTTACCCAGTTTGTCACAAAACATGCATATTTTTTGCTAAACTTGGTGCAGTCCAAGTAAAACAGGAAGTGATGTCAAAGGGGAACTCTTTAAAAAGGGTAACTTCCAGGTCTTTATAAATCTGACTCTCCTTTATCTGTCTGATAATGACTCAAAATAATCTACAGAAACATCTGATTCTTTGCAGTCTGTTCTTAGATGTTGTAACAACTCATTCAGGCATTCCCGTTTGACATCACTTCCTGTCTCTGCTCATGTGAATATCTCAACAACTGTTCATTTCAGTGTCATGAATCTTTGCAATTCATCATGAATGTTATCTTTTCAAATATGCACTCAAATACAGGGGTTGGAGAATGAAATTGAAACACCTGTCATTTTAGTGTGGGAGGTTTCGTGGCTAAATTGGACCAGCCTGGTGGCCAGTTTTCATTAACTGCACATTGCACCAGAAAGAGCAGAGTGTGAAGGTTCAATTAGCAGGGTAAGAGCACAGTTTGGCTCAAAATATTGCAATGCACACAACATTATGGGTGACATACCAGAGTTCAAAAGAGGACAAATTGTTGGTGCACATCTTGCTGGTGCATCTGTGACCAAGACAGCAAGTCTTTGTGATGTATCAAGAGCCACAGTATCCAGGGTAATGTTAGCACACCACCAAGAAGGACCAACCACATCCAACAGGATGAACTGTGGAYGCAAGAGGAAGCTGTCTGAAAGGGATGTTATGGTCTAAAACCAGGTGTTTCACTTTCATTTAACCCCTGTATATCACTTAAATTTAATGTCACAGGCACTTTAAGCTGATTAGTTAAACTGTAGCAAAATGCTAAACATTGTAAACCATGGCTACAAGTTAAATTTAGCAAAACAGTAGCTTAAAGCTAGTATTAGCCAAACTGTTACTAAAAGCTAAACTTAGTAAACCCTAGCTACAATATTAATGAACAAAACAGTAGCTAAAAGCTAGAATTACAAAAACTGTAGCTAAAACTACTATAAGAAAAAATAGATAAACCTAAAATTAGCCTAACTGTAACTAAAAGCTAAACTTAGAAGCTAACATTAGATAAACCGTAGCTGAAAAGTAAACTTAGCAAAACCGTAGCTAAAAGTTCAAATAAGCATAGAAGACAAAAACTGAGCACATACACTGAAGCTAATTTAAAAAAAAAAACAATGACGAATTTGAATTAAATTTTAAATAAATTTATTTTTCAACATCTTAAGTCACAAAAGTCAAAAGACAGCACAATATTAAAAACAGTCACAGGATCATCACTTGTTTTAGATATTTAGAATTTAGCCTTTTATTCATAAATGAAACAACTAAGATCTTTATGTATGTAAAGTCAGTAAAACAACTAAGTATTTATCTCTTCGAAGTACTATATTTATTCATGTATAATACGATCTTGAGTTCATCATGTATGATACGATCATCATTTTTTAAGCTTACATATCACAAAAATCTAATTATCAATAACCTGTGTATAATACTATCCCCCCACTTTATGGATGATTTTTAGGGTTAAATTTCTAGTATTATACATGAATAAATAGGTATTAGGAGAGTTTTCTTTATATCAGGGTGTCTGATCTCACAGGCCAGATAAAAACTCTGTAACATTTTAAACCTGGAGACACTCTTTGGATAAAACATCTGTATAAAGCTGTAATCCAGGTTCTTGAAGTTATCCATGAATGTAGTTACAGTTGATCCCAAAGAAGTTGTGTTTTTTCCCACTGACCACGTTATCCCTCAGGTTGACCGCAGCCTGCCTAACAGAACCGTGGAAGTTTTTATGTGCGTCTGACTTACTGAAGGACTGTTGAAGCTCCAGGAGGCCGGGAGCCGCCGGGTGGATTCCCGGCAGGATGGGAGGCCGTGGCAGGATGCTGGAGTTAGGAGCTGAGTGTAGAAGCTCTCCATCCTCCATCTGCCCTTCCTGCTCTATAAATACCAACGGTCTGTGTGACCTGGAACTTGTCTGATCTGAAGGTCCAACTTTAAGGGTCTGTGACTCAGATTGTTGACTCGGAGCTTCGTCAAACTGAACGTTGCTCCACTGTTTTCGTTCTTCTTTGGGTCTAGAAGGAACAAACACGGGATAGGACTGTTCTCTCTGTGTGGGGGAGAAAAGCTGCGTTAGTTTTATTTTTCATTATGTAAAATTGACTTTAAATATGAAAGAGGCTGCTTGTACCAGTGGAGCAGAGTGGGAATTCTTTCCAGAGAGGTCACGGATTCTTTCATTGAAATCATCTGTCTTCAAAGGATTTGCTGGTCCAGATCCTTAAAACAAAATCAAACATTCACATTGCTGGTATTAAAGTCACAAGAGTTCAATCAGTTTTCTTTGGTTGTAATAAATTCCTTCAAACATCGTGTCTCCTCACCAGTGTAGTGCATTTGGTAGGAGGTGACCCACAGAGTCCTCTCCAGGTTTTTCAGCATGTTGCTCGTGCGCTCTGATAACGTCACGTCCCAGTCACGGAGCTTTGGGTTGGGAAGTATCGTCTTTGTCGGAGCAGGGTAAAAACCTCTTTTTTCTTCTTGTGACGGGTTTCCCTGCAGGTGATTTAACAGAAGTTATGTCTCGATTGTGGAGATTATTTTGTGTATATAATATATAAACTACCCACATCAAATTCTCCAGTCCACATTACGGCTTTCCTCCTGGTGTTCAGTGGAGTTCCTGAGACCTCATGTCTGTATGGACCACCTATGAGTGTGAATGATTCATGTGTAACAAAAAAAATGTACAAGAAAAAACAAAACAAAACATGAAACCAAAATAAACAGATGAAGAAACATAAAAACTGGACAAAATGCATGTTGAGTGCTGAATGACTCAATAAAATTTACTGAAAAAGCAACAGCAGAACAGGTAAAGATAAATAAAGCTAACAACTAGCTAAAAATCAAAAGTTGCAAAATGCTAGCCAATAGCAAAATGTTAACTAATAGCAAATGCTAGCTAAAGGTAAAATGTAGTAAAAGGCTAATTAAAAGCAGCTCAATGTTAGCTTCAATTAAATAGTTGCAAAAAGTAGTAAGAAGACAGCTAAAGATAAAGTAGCAAAGCTGGGTAAAAGCTAAAAATTGAAAAAGCTAGAAAAATGGAGCAAAAAGCTAATTAAAAGGTTAAGTAGGACATGGTAACTAAAAGCTAAATGTGGCAAAAGGCTGTAGCTAAAAGCAGCACAAGGTTTTCCTAAATTTAATATTAGCAAAGTAGCAAAAAGAAGTAAAAAGCTATCTAAAAAATAAAGTAGCAAAAGGCCAGGTAAAAGCTAAAAGTAGAAAAAAAGCTAGCAAATGTAACAAAAGGCTAATTAAAAGCAGCTCAATTTTACCTTCAATTGAATAGTAGCAAAAAAGAAGGTAGCTAAAGATAAAGTAGCAATAGGTAAAAGCTAAAAGTAGAAAAAGCTAGAAAAATGAAGTAAAAAGCTAATTAAAAGGTTAAGTAGGACATGGTAACTAAAAGCTAAATGTGGCAAAAGGCTGTAACTAAAAACAGCACAAGGTTATCTTAAATTTAATAGTAGCAAAGTAGCAAAAATAAGCAAAAACCTATCTAAAAATTAAGTAACAAAAGGTTAGGTAAAAGCTAAAAGTAGAAAAAAACTAGCAAAATGTAGCAAAAGGCTAATCAAAAAGAAGGAAACAATAATAAAAGCTAATTATCGCAAAAGGTTAGCCTAAAATATCAGAAAGCTAGCTAATTATAGCTAAATACTTGCTATCCTAAAAGCAATAAACGCATCTGTGATGTTTTTTCTTGGCTGCTCACAGTCACTTCCCAGATCTTCATCATGTGGCTCATTAACTTCATTCGCTTCTAGTTGCTACAACTCTGTATATCACACTTTCCAAAACATGTCCTTAAAGTTACACATTCATGTCAAAATGGCCAAACTGCAAAAAAACCCATAAGATGGAAAACTAACAGAAATATAATTTAATGAGATTGATAATGACCAAAAATGTACAAAAAATAAACACTAAATGGTGAAAAACAAGCATAAAGCAGCATATAAAATCTGTTTATTATGCATGAAACAAACATCTTACATCAACCTTCTCACCAATAGTCTTGCTGAGCAGAGTGACGTTAGGAGTTCTGTTTGAGACGTGGCGGTTTGGGAACGGTCGGAGAGCAGCTCTAACTCCTCGCTCCATGTCGTCCGGGGAGCAAAAGGATGGAAACATCGCAAACCGAGAGATGTGGGACGAAAAAGGATGCTCCTTTACATTTGGAATCCTTTTCTCCCTGCAACAAATGAATTTAAATCAGGTTTAAATACAACAAAAGTTCAAATAGAGACTGAAAAAAAAAATAAAAATATGTGCTGGAAAACCAAAGAACAGGAAATGTACTCACACTACATTTACATCAGTTGGTTTTGGTACGCTGGAAAAAAAAAAGATTAAATATCTTTTATAATGAGTTTAGTAAATTTAGCAGCATATTTAATATAATTTAATAAATCTACTTACAGCTGGTCATTCAGTCGAACATTGCTTTTCTTTCTGCTCTTATAACACTGTTCACTGCTGACATGTCTGTACAAGTTAAACAGCAGAAAATTTAACTAATTAAACTACAACGTGCAGCTGTCCTTTTTATACTGCTCATCTACTTACTCCGGTACGCTTCCTCCATACCCCCAGTGGGAGCGTCCATTTAAACCATTCAAAGAGCTGCTAGGTGCCAAAAACGTTAGCGCCATACTGAAGGAAGGAGACATACATGGACAGGAAATTACAACAACAACAACAACAACAACAACAATTTTTAAAGTTACCAGTAGTGAGTAAGGCTAACCAAAAGATTAGCTCTAACCACCAGTCTGTTTAATAAAAAAAATAGCAAAGCAAACAAGAAAATTATTGGGAGCTAACGCTAACTGATAACATCTTTAATCAGAGACGTATTTTCTCCATATAATTAACCCACAGTAATAAAAACATATAAACTGAGTAACTACACCTCTCAAAGTGTTTAGGGAATTCCCCCCCGCCAAAATCACCCTTTCTGATCGTATTACAAGGATCTGAGTGGACAAAGGGGAATAACACAGGTGTGCAAACAAAATACTAAAGATGCTAGTACGCACAAGGCTCATGATGCAGACGTGCAGAGTCACGCGTGAGGCGATAGTTGCTTTTACTTTTGTAGAACTAAATTTAGTGGGATCTAACTGGTTTGTTGTTTTCCAAAGCAAAAATGCTAATCCTCTAAACGAAAAGTTAGCGTAGCTGTTAGAGGATTAGCAGAATTGTGCTCCATACTGATATAGCCCATAATTCTGCACACACTTTTAAAATAATTCCACTTTGTTAGAACCCAAAAGTTTGACTGAGTTTACATAAATACTATACATCATCTAAAGTTATGTTTCAGTGTCACGCCCTCGCTATTAGCGGATTAGCAGAAATGTGCCCACCATTTACAAAGAAATACAACAGGGTAGGTCTGCCTTCTTGATCTTACTCTATTCAACTAATGATTATGAAGCAGACATGTCAGGTTTACTTACCTATAAGGAAATAAAATTCACAGAAGTCTCTGATGTGTTCCTGTTAAAAGGAAATCATTCTGCTTGGATGTAAAAGCTGATCCTTCTCTTTGCTCATGAGCGCAGACGCCAAGGATCGGTGCTACACCCAACAAAAGGTCTACTTAACGTGGGTGACACTCAATCCCACCCACAGCACAGGGGTTGTTGGCAAGAGTGTTATTCTTATTTGTATCCCAAATTCATCTCTCCCGCCTCCCCGTAGTTTTTATGGGTGAAATGCAGGAATCAAGCTGTGTGAATGTTTTATATTTTGATAAGCAATCACTGCTCAGCGTTCTGACAGTGTTACATGATCACACAACTAAAGACGAGGAGGAATGAAAATCTAGCTCTCTCTGATCAACAGGTACCGACACCGGATACAACCTGTGTGCAGCTAGAGTTTGGTTACAGAAGTCATATTAAATTACATTCATTCCTGTGGAAATACAGGAGGCCGCTTCACCGTATCACTGAATGGCTTTTAAAATAAAAAACAGATACATTTTGTAACTCAATAATAATCATTTTAAATAATCTTTTTCCACATTTGCAACAAACAGTTTTTTTTAACAAAGTTTAACAATAAACAGGCCCCAGATACATTTTTTAAATATGATATAGTAGTTTTTAAACACCTTTATTTAGAAGAAGCCCCATCTTTAAATCAGATTGTGATTTACATCCTGTTGGTTTGTGATTGATCGATTGAATCATCAAATTTGTGCGTACATGAATGCTTAAAGTGCCCGTGACATCCAATTTTTATAATAAATATGAATGCGTTTTTGGAAAGAAAACATTGATAAAATATTGCAAAATACGTTTCATGCCACTGAGATGAACAGTTGTTGAGATATTTGCATATGAAACAACAGGAAGTGATGTCAAAGGGGAATGGCTGCATGTCATCAGAGCGTTGTTACAGCCAACAACCCAGACTGTAGAGAAGAATCTGATGTTTCTTTAGGTTATTTTGAGTCGATATCAAAGAGAGATGAAGAAGTTAAAGTTTAAATAATTTGTTTTAATAAACAAAGACTAGAGAGTTTATTTTATTAGAGTTCCCCTTTGATGTCACTTCCTGTTTCATTTTGGTTGAACCAAGTTCAAAAGAAATAGGTCAGTTTTGTGACAAAATTGGTAAAAATCGTGTATTATGGTAATTTTCTTCAGTATAAAGATGTTTTCTTTGAATTATTTGTAGGCATGTCTCAGGGCCTTTAAAGACACAACAGTTTGAAAGAACACACTTTTGGAACTTTAAAAAGGGTCGACTCTCTTCTTTACTTTTTCAATAATTAAAAACCTGAAAATATAAATTATGAAATGCGTATAATCAAATCGACTCCTTCCTCTCAGGACGTGACACGGTCTGCTTTCCAAGCAGCAAAACTGCCCTTGTTTGTTTGTTCACTCACTAATCCCATATTCTGCATCCTGCTTTTTAATTGGGGTCCTCGGGAGACCTCGTCTAAAGTCTCAGCAATGTGCCCGAGTCCTTTCAAGCAGTTTATGCTAAGTCCAGTAACCAATTACTCCACTGTGCCCCAACAGAGTCGATGCTTTATAGATTATAAACTTATGCAGCTGCATTACAAATGCAACATTGCATGCAGTGATGCTTTTAAATATTATAATGGTACAGATGTAGGATGGTGGTTAACCTCCAACCAGATTACACACTCCAGCAAAAATTCTACTTACTACAACTTCATCTTAATGTGAAAAAGAACATTTGGTCAGATTGAAAATATTGTTATTGGGCAAAATAATTGTTAAAATCAAGAAAACTTTTGTCGCAGCATGGATTTTGGGAATTAGCTAAAAGGCCTAGCATTCCTTGAAATTAAGTATATTACCAGCCGCTCGCCTTCCATGCCAGAGTTTTAGACAAAGATCCTGTTATGCTGAGTAATGATGCAGTTGTATTCATTTTGTTCTGTCAAGATTCCAGGTTATCAGCTTTGGTTCTCCTCTACCCTCTTTCAAAGTAAGACCCAGAGTGCGGTCACGTCATTAATGGCAGCACTCGATACATTCGCAGCTTGTTAACCTGAGCAATCCTGAGAAGTAGAGGTGGGCGATACTGGGAATTTTGGTATCAATCTGATACCAAGTAAATACAGGGCCAGTTTCGCTGATATAGATATCGATAGATACGTTTTAATATTTTAACCTTCAAAAATCCAAAGGACCTAAAAGACCTAGGACAGACTTTTGCCAAATATTGTATGTGACAAAAAATAAATAAAAAACAAGATCTCAGATACAGGTAGTGTAAAATGTTTTTCCCCCTGGGCTCTCCCTTAGAACTGATTATACATTCTGTTATCCAGGAGATTGAGAGTCCCTGCTCCTCCACGTCAAAAGGAGCCAAGTGAGGTGGTTCAGGCATCTGGTAGGGATGCCCCTTGAATGCCTCCCTAAGGACACTCAGGAAAGTCTATATCTATTGGTCTGGGAGCACCTTGGAATCCTTCTGGTAGAACTTGAAGAGGCAACTGTGGAAGAAAATGCTCACACTGCTGCCCCCACGACTTCAGGACAAGTGGGAAATTTTAGGAAATTTAATGTGAGAACAACTATTCACTCACATTTACGCCCTACTTCACAATCTATTCCTGCAATATGTGCAGTCTCCCTGAAAGAGTTCCTGGAAATATTTTAATGGTTCTTTCATGTGAGTGAGAGAGGGGAGCTGAACATGATCTTGCACTAACAGCTCTTGAGAAATGTCTTCTTACCATTGTTATTAATATTAATTTCATTCTCAAAAAACAAAATACACACTTTTCCCTGAACCACAGAACCCATTGGATATGTGGGTGTCAGTATAGCTCTGAGGTAACACAGAGGCATGTTTTGTCTTTACAAAATATTATAAATCAAATCCACGAGAGTGATGTTTCTTTGACTACATGCACCAAAACAGTTTTTCTTTTGTGTTTTCACATTTCTGCTCCTTCTATTCAGACACATTCTGCCAGCTGGAATCCAAGTGCCCTTGAGTTATTCAGAGCTGCTTATAAGGAAAGAAAGACAAGCTGCTTTTATACCTGCATCCATCCATCTATCCATCTATCTATCTATCCATCTATCCATCTGATTTATCACGATTTACGATATAATGATTTGTTTGGATGATGATATATGTATTTCTCCATATTACAGTCTCTCATGATGCCATTTTGAGTCAATTCAATTCGAAAATTTGCGTTCAATATGATGCCCATCTAGGGGCGGAGCCACAGGGGCATTGGCCCCTACTGAAATTTTATTGGCCCCCTGAAGTGCCCCTATCCTGTCACTCCTCTGTCCTTTGCCCAACAGCAATGATGGAGGATGCAGTTCCACGTCCAAACACTAGAGGCGCTACTGAGACCAATAGAAAAGTCCAGCATGAATCAAGCCGACAGTCTTTTTCTTTTCTTAACATTTGAACAATCCTGCAGAAAAAGTCTTTCAACTCACAAATGATGGGTGAATTCTCTCACATGCTGTTTGTTTGAGAGTATTTTATCTATGAACTGTAAAAATTCATGTGAAATTGGTAAGGAGAATTTACCGTGCAAGCTTTTTTAAAACTGCATTACAAGTGTTTAAACGTGACTAGTTATATACACCATCCCAAATCCAGGGATTTGTACAAGGATGCTGAACAAATACTTGGCCCCTCTATAAGTATTGTGGCCCCTTACTCAGAAAAATCTCAGATCCACCACTGTGCCCATCTAACAAACGATTGCGTTAGATATGATGGCCAAATGTAATTTAATAATTTAATCAATATATTTATGTGATTAAAATTATTGTTACACTCCTATCTATCTATCTATCTATCTATCTATCTATCTATCTATCTATCTATCTATCTATCTATCTATCTATCTATCTATCTAATGAAACCTCACTCTTTTTTTAAGTGAGGCTCTGTTCTGTGTCTCTGGTGGCACAGAGTGAAGAGAGTGAGTGCACATCCTGCCCTGCTTCTTTTTTTCTCCCTCTCTCTTCAGTTTCTTGGAATAAAACATATAGTCGCCGCATTTTTCTCCACCACTGCATATTCTTCAGGAATCCACCAGAGACGCAACTCTGAATCTTCTCCTTTGACTGACAGCTGCAGCACCGTCCTCATTCCTCATTAATTTGGTGTCAATAAAATGACTCTTTTTGGCCTGTTTCACTCACAGTCTTTCAGGGAAGAGTTGGAGATGGGAGCGAATGGATAAGTGTTCTCGGAGCAGATTGTTAGAGCAGTTTTTTTTCCTCCCATCACCATCATGACCGCCTTAGACTTCTCGGATGTAGAGGCTTTTCTGGACAGCCACCCGGATCTGTTCGAGGAGTACATGGTTCGGAGAGCGAAGTGCAACCAGGTGAGCAGGTGGCTGAGGGAGCACCAGCCGTCCAAAGGGTCCACTGTGGCGGAGGAGGAGAAGCGGGGCGCAGCCGCGGGGGCTGCCGGTGCTCCGGATCCGTTGTGGCCGACCGGCGGCGACGCGCTCCGGCGCAGGTCCTCTCACATGGAGCTGCGCCGGAGCTTCGCCCGCTCCAAGGCAACCACCGCGCACCACACCTACGACGAGCACGTGAGCCTGAGCGAGCACGACGAGACCCAGTCCAGCGTCCGGCGCCGCGCTCTCCTGCGCAAAGCCAGCTCTCTGCCGCCGACCACTGCGCACATCCTGAGCGCGCTGCTGGAGTCCCGTGTCAACGTGCCCCAGTACGCGTCCAGCGCCATCGACTACAAGTACAGACTGAAAGAAACCAACGAGCGGGAGTTCTTCCTGGAGCTGGTGAAGGACGTGTCCAACGAGCTGGACCTGACCCACCTGAGCTACAAGATCCTGATCAACGTGTGCATCCTGGTGGACGCGGACAGGTGCTCGCTCTTCCTGGTAGAGGGACCCGCTCAAAAGAGGACACTCGTGTCCAAGTTCTTCGATGTCCACTCGGGGACCACGGTCAGACCTTCATCCAGCACTCTGAACTCCAATGAAGTGCAGGTGCCATGGGGGAAAGGGATCATTGGATACGTGGCAGAGCATGGAGAGACTGTGAACATCTCGAACGCATACGAGGTAAAATAGATCAGTTATTCTCTAAATCTTTGAAGACAGTCACCCAAATCAATGCGCCATGCACTTTTTTTTTTATTAGTGGTGAGTTGTCTTTATAGCCAAGCTTTGAACTCAGGAACTTAATTCACACAAAAAAAAAACCTCTAGACTATCATTCCTTCAGAAAAGTGAGAAAATCAGTTCTTTTAGCTTCACAGCAGCCGGATCGTGTGAGCCACATCATTATCTCCTGGCTCTGGGCTGCTGGACTCTCTGAGGCAACAGGATGGATCCTTGGTGGACTTTTTTTTTTACCGTTATAGAGAAGCAGAACTTCAATTTTAACAAGAAAGGAGTGTAAAAAGCTTACTTTTTTAATAACAGAAGCAGAGAGAGGACAAATTCAGCAGCTTTAAGTATGAAACAGATAAGTTAACATTTCTGGCCTTCTGCATTGGCTGAATGAGTCAAACAAGGCAATTGTCCGGCTGAAGCCCAAAGATACTGAGATTCTGATAAGTTCAAGAATCTATTATCCCCAAGGGGCAATTTATTGCACAAGTCAGCAAATAATAACAACCTAATTAATTATACGATAATTGTGCCCTCTGGTAATATTTTGTTTTTGAACTTATAATTTTTTGTGACTTTTTATTGCTGGTGCAGTTGGCTCCTCCTAAGATTTAGCAGTGTTCAGTTTGTTTTCAAATATGTGAATGATACAAGAAGTGAAACATGATGAGATAGTTTGACCACTTCAATAATTCAGCTTCCAGCACAGTCTGACCTACAGCTCAAATGGATTTTTGTGATACTTTTAAGACAAGTTGCTCAGAAGAAATAAAATACGGCATATTGTACATTTAAATTCAAGGGTCTATAAGGGGAACTATGCTTTGGTCTGAATTCCTTATTTTACCTTTACCAGCCCCTCTTTCTCTTCTTTTCTGAGGTGCGTCTCAGATCAACTCGTTTTGGTGCTGTTCCTTTAAATTCAAAATAATCATATGCCTGCATGGTTCAGTGTTTAGTATTTATTAGCTATAAACTATTTTATTGTTTACATGAATATGGTCTTTTTGTGTCGCTGTTAGCGTCATAAATTTAGCTTTATACTACAACCCCCACTGGCTGGAAAAGGCCCCTCCTTTCACACACTCTAGGGTTGGGCAATATTGGCAAAAAAATTATCACAATTAATTGTGGTACTTAGCCGATAACGATTAATTTGACGATTAATCCCCTGGAGTCCCTGGACACCCTTATGTCCTACATGACTAATTTAGTGGGAAAGATTTGCTCTTCGTAAAAATCTGTTCCAAATTGTGTCAAAATTACAGACTTCAGGCTATACATCAAATTTTAAATTGTGTTGATAAATAAATTACAGAACTTTTTTAAATGTTTGTCATATTTGAAGTGGAGAGGAGCAACAAGCTGACTCTGCATGGTGGCATTAATCGTATTAATCGTCAAGTGCCAAAAAATAGTCGATTAACGTTTTTCTGACGATTAATTGCACACGATACGATTAAGTGGCCCAAGAACCACCAGTTCACAGCTCAGGACACATTCTATTAGTGAACCTATAGGGGCAGAAATCATTACTTTGATTGTAAAGGTTGTCTGTAACAGATGTCTGTATAAGGAGATAATGTTAGAATGTTACTGGGTGTATTTGATAAGTTTAAGCTGCAGGTATTGTCTTGACATTTCCCGTCTGTCAACACTGGTACATTGTACTCTGGAGTTAATGATGGGTAATAAATAACGTGTTTACTTGATTTCAGGACCACCGCTTCAGTGATGAGATCGACAAGTTAACAGGCTACAAGACTCAGACCATCCTCTGCATGGCCATCTGCAACAGCGACGGGGAAGTCATAGGGGTCGTCCAAGCTATCAACAAGAACCCTATGGGCACCCCTTTCACGGAGGACGATGAGAAGGTGAAGCTCCGCAGGAATAATTCATCATTTGTTCTGTTACTTCTGTGAATTGTGCCATTAAGAGCATTTTTAGATAAGGAGAATATGATGCTCTGAATCTTCCTGTGGACAGGAGCAAATTGTTTGCTCAGAAGCGAAATACCAGAAAAATTAAGAGAAGAAAGGTCAAGCTTTTACTCGAGCACRGAGCGCTGAGTGTGTACACGAACACCTCGAGCTAATGCATCATCTGTTGTTCCCCTAGCTATTTACATGAAATGGGTTTGTAGAAAGTGCTTGTATTATTGCTCCATTTGGGGGGTTTCACAGCTCACAAATGGTATTTCACACTCACAGTTTGTTGTTTCGTTTTCCTCCGGTTTGCCGCCGAGCATATAAAATGTAATGCACCCAGCAGATTTGAAGCGTCGGCTTCTGTTTTTCAGATGAGATGTCAGAAGAGTTAACAGTGCTTAGCTTTACTGAAGAAGCAAAATAAAAGTTTGAGAAAAAGGTGCCGTTTGAAGGAATCGAACTACTGTACATCGAGCTGCAGCAGCATGTCCACGTGGGGGCAGAGTAATGTGCAAAACAATTCAATCTGATTACATCAGACAAAAATGTTTGCTCCTCATTTTTCCAGAAACATTCAGCAACAACCAGATGATCATTAAGTAAATTTATAACATTTTAAAAAAGCAACTTGATAAACGCCAGCTTATTCTGACATTTTAGGGTTTCAAAAATCTCACCAAGTGTCCTTTAAATCAATGCTTCATTAGCAGAGAGGGATGTTTGTGCTGAGATTAAGCTGACTGCATCCTAATTTCTTACTGACATCATCACACACTCCTAACATATTTTAAACCAGGGGTTCTCGAGCCATTTGGGTCTGGGGACCCCTTACAAGGGCAAAAAAATTTCCAGGGACCCTCTCATAAACCCTATACTGTATTGTTTTAAAAGATCATTTATTGTCATTTCAACCCCTAAATGCCATGGGAATTTTTTTATTAAGTTTATTATGTTTGTTTTATTAGTTCATTGTTGTCCATGCATTTAAAAAAAATTAAAACCAAATTAACAATTTAGTGAATTTTTTAAGGGACTCCCAAGATACCTCACAGACCCCAGTTTGAAACCCTCTTTATTTTAGGACGATTATTTATGCACATATCTCATCACGTTTCTTGTTCCCAGGTGCTGCAGATGTATCTGCCGTTCTGTGGAATATCGATTTCCAATGCCAAGTTGTTTTCGGAGTCTCGTAAGGAGTATGAAAGGAGCAGGGTGAGTTTAAAGTTGCTGCAGGGTAAATTTATATTTATTTATTTTTGGTGTGGTCATGGAGGAGTTGGGGGTGATTCTTGTTGCCCCAGGCGCTGTTGGAGGTGGTCAACGACTTGTTTGAAGAGCAGACCGACCTGGAGAAGATTGTCAGGAAGATCATGCAGCGAGCGCTGACCCTGCTGCAGTGTGAACGCTGCTCTGTGCTCCTGCTGGAGGACATCGATTCACCTGTGAGACCTTCTTTCAGTTCCTGAACTTTTTATGTCTCATCACAACTTTTTATACATCCTCACCTGAAAGCAATTAATATGTTTAGACTAGACTAGTAACATCTGTCTATCTGTCTACAGTATCTATCTATCTATCTATCTATCTATCTATCTATCTATCTATCTATCTATCTATCTATCTATCTATCTATCTATCTGTGTCTGTCTATCTATCTATCTATCCCTCCATCCATCCTGCCATCCCTCCCCCTCCCTCCATCCGTTCATCCATCCATCTGTCCATCCATCCATCCCTCCATCCGTTCGTTCATCCATCCAGCCACCCATCTGTTCGTTTGTCCATCCATCCATCCATCCATCCATCCCTCAGTTAGTCCATCCATCCATCCATCATCCATCCATCCATCTTTTCGTTCGTCCATCCATCCATCCGTCCGTTCGTCCATCCATCCATCCATCCATCCGTCCGTTTATCCATCCATCCATCCATCCATCCCTCCATCCATCTCTCAGTTCGTCCATCCATCCATCCATCCATCATCCATCCGTCCGTCTGTCTGTCCGTCCATCCATCCATCCGTCTGTCCATCCATCCATCATCCATCCATCTATCCGTTCGTTCGTTCATCCATCCGTCCGTCCGTCCATCCATCCATCCATCCATCCATCCATCCATCCATCTGTCCGTTCATCCATCCATCATCTATCTGTCCATCTATCCGTTCGTTCGTTCATCCATCCATTCGTTCATACATCCATACATCCATCCGTCTGTTCGTTCATACATCCATCCGTCCGTCTGTCCATCCATCTGTCCGTTCATCCAACCATCCATCCATACATCCGTCCGTCCATCCATCCATCCGTCCATCCATCATCCATCCATCCGTCCATCTATCCGTTCGTTCGTTCATCCATCCGTTCGTTCATACATCCATACATTCATCCGTCCATTCATTCATCCATCCATCCGTCCGTTCATCCATCCATCCATCCRTCCATCTATCCGTTCGTTCATACATCCATMCATCCATCCATCTGTCCATTCGTTCATCCATCCGTCCATCCATCCATCCATCCATCCATCCCCCCTGTTGTCATCAACGATTTATAGGCACAGCTAACCCATTTAGTTTCACTAACTCATAATTTGTTAGCTAAAACTACAGCTCCCCCAACACTAAGCATGTAAAAAAGTGGTTCCTGGTGTTAGCTTTTCACCAACAGCAACTTTACAATAACTAAAGTTAGTGAAAAAAAGCTAATACGCTAATCAATACATTAGTTCCGTTATTAGCTATTACCTAGCGGAGCCATGCCCACCACTGCTTATGGTGATGTTGGACTTTTTCACAGGTGGTGAAGTTCTCCAAGACGTTTGAGCTCATGTCTCCTTTGTGCAACATTGACAGAGACATCAAGTAAATAAAAACCTTTGACCAGAAATTCCTAAGATACAGTAATGATTGTAACTCAGAAGATATTTGTTTACAGTATTAACCGAATGCTGTTTTCTTTTTATGTTTTCGACTAAATCAGCATGGAGAAGTTATCCTGCTCTGATTGGCTGATCAATAATAGCATCGCTGAGCTAGTGGCTTCCACAGGGCTGCCTGTTAACATCAGCGACGTCTGTCAGGACCCACGCTTCGATGCTGAGGTGTGGACAAACTGATTGCTCAAAATAAAAACAACGCAGTGTCATTGAAATGATTCAAGCATGAACGATGAAACACAAAACTCTCTGTTTAAAGGCAGATCAGGCCTCAGGGTTTCACATCAGGTCGGTGTTGTGCGTTCCCATCTGGAATCGAACTCATCAGATAATCGGTAGGTTGTTTCTTTTTTTCTTTTTTTYTCTCAATGGAAGCTGATTTTCATGGTAATAAAACGAAAACATGTCTGTTTTCTTTTAGGTGTTGCTCAAATTTTGAACCGCTTGGACAGGAAGACATTCAATGATGCAGATCAGAGGCTGTTTGAGGTCAGTTCTTTAGAATTTATAAAAAATAACAGCAACATTTAATTATTTGATACGCTAAATACTAAAAATATGACCTTTCAGATGTTTTGAAGTGGGGTTATGTGGCAATTTTACGAGCAGGTAGTATCTTACCTGTTGTAGAAAATGTTTTGAATTACCTCAGTTTGGAGAATTAGTGGGGTGATGCGCTAACTGTTAGCCTGAACTGGATTGAGACCAAAGTGCTGCTGTCTTTAAATAATTTATTTAATAATAATTTATGCAAACATTGATTTTGTGATATTTGCACCGTCTATTTCATATTGCTGTGTCATTTAACCTCTTGAGCTCCATGCCCCCGGTATAGGGGGCAAAACATAATTTCCCATTTTTTTATTTCTTTTAATATCTGTTAACTTAAGATCTGTAAGTTGAACCTGGACATGTTTGGTATCAATAGAAAGCTGTTTTTACATTGACCAAACACAGTTCAAATGACAGACAGTTTAATCAAAAATAAACAAACTGTACAAAATGGGATTGTTGCAAATCTGTGAATACATTACAACAAATCTGTAAAAGGAAAACCTTTTGACATTTATTTTTAAAGTAGGTTAAAGCACGTACCAAAATATGTTGTAAAGTATGTTGAAACTTTTTTTTACTTCATTTTGAGTGAATATGATCCAACCGAAGTCAAATCTAATTTCTCATTATTTCATATAATATATACGGTGACAAAATAAACGTTTGGATAATTTTTCAAAAGAACAAACATTCAATAACAAGTCTTTTCAGTCAGGTAAGGTAACTTTTGCAATTAAAAACCAATTATTTATTAACATTTATTAATGGTATCATCATGGTCTGTCCTGTGGAGAATGAAAAATCGCAAAATTATTTCTTTACTAAAACTTCTGTAACTTTGCTCCAGTTCATTTTAGCAGCATGAATCTTTGCATAGGTAATGTCCACAAGGGGATTTATGGTTTCCAAGAGTTTTTAGCCTGATTCATTATGGTTTTAAATAGGTTATATACTGTCTAATGCAAAATTATTCAGATGGGAGGGGGGGGGGAATAAAAATAATAATGTTCCATCCTCAATATCTTTAGAACAACAGCAGCTGTTTTAATACTTACACTGCTAATAAAATCTCCCAAGTGTTAGCTTTATTTTGATACCAAGATTATAGAATTTGTAAATGCTGAGAAACACTTAATTACATTTCAGCATRGTATTTCGAGTAAAAACATCAAGAAAACCCCTTGGGGCCTAAGAGGTATTAATTAGAATTTTATGGTTATTTGCGAGCAAAGGTAGCGGCAGCAGCTGTAGCACTTCAGTGCATCCTAGGACAGGTGTTCTCAAACTTTTTGGGTCTGGGGACCCCTTACAAGTGTGAAATTTCTCCAGGGACCCCTTCATAAACCCCTTGCTGTTTTTAGAAATAATTTACTGTCATTTTAATGCCTAAATACTATGAGAATATTGGGGTTTTTTTTTGTTTTATTATGTTTGTTTTACAAGTGCATTGTTCCCCATGTTCATTTTTCAAATAAAACCCAAAATAACAATTTATTGAAATTTTTTGATGACCCCCAAGATAGGGCTCGTGGACCCGGGGGGTCCTGGAACCTCAGTTAGAGAACCTCTGTCCTAGGACAATTCTGTCAGGAATATTTTGCCAAAATAGGAGTACTGGGAAATTTATGGTCATTAAGATAAAAAAAAATAGAGTTGTTTAAAGACAGCAGCAATCTACATTGGTCAGTTTCGGACTAGCCATAAGCTCATCAGTTTGGTCAGAAAATGACTCTGAACAGAGGTCATTCAAAAGGACTATTTACAAGTAGTAGGTACAACGTTGATAACCTTTCTTCAAACCCAATTTAAAAAGTAATCTGAACTATCCCTTTCAGTTTTTCTGTTTTGTGTGCAGGCGTTTGTAATATTCTGTGGACTTGGGATCAACAACACGATGATGTACAACCAAGTGAAGAAGACATGGGCCAAACAGTCCGTAGCACTGGATGTAAGCATACCCATTCGTCCAAAAACAGATATTTTACTAACAGAGATCAGGTCAAATCGCGTGTTCTGACAATAAYGTGAGGCTAAAGAGAGGCTCTTTATTCACTCAGAATATTTTCTGCTCCGCTGCTCTGTATCCAACTCGATCCATCACATTATCCTCAGAAAACATGGTTCTACTGCTCCACAGTAAATATTTTAACTGCTTTCAATAATTCATGACAAATRCATGTGCCAGTCTGCTCATTTTCTCATCAAAGCCTGTTTTATTCCCTGTGAATGTGTTTTTTTTATATATTCTCTGGTTTTAAAAGCTGATGAGAGATGAACTGATTTAATTCTGATGAGGCAAGTAAAGAAGTAGAGCAGGTCGAAGATTATTGTAAAATGTTTATCAGCAGTGGTGAGCATGGTTCCGCTAATTAGCTAACAGCTAATTGTGGAACTAATTTATTGTTGAGTGAATTAGCTTTATTTACTAACCTAGAAAACTGTTAGCGGACCAATTAGCCTCTGCTAATTTAGGCATTGCCAACTTTAGGTGCCCCACCAACTAACATACCAACACCAACAGGTTTGTGTCCCACCTGTCTTCAGCTGGAAGGAGACGAAGACGTGTGACGCAGACTGAGGGATAGTTGTCTTAGCTGTTAGCTGTTCGTGTTAGCAAATCTTTACTTGTTAAGCTGTTTAGCGTTAGCATCCATTTATTTATTTTACATGCTTAGTGGTATAGCGTTAGCAAAGCTTTGTTTTTAGCTAGAAGATTAGGATTTATTTTAACTTTTTTGGTTAATCTGTGCCCACCTCTGTTTAACCTTGTACCATCATCCGTGTGTGAATGTGTGTGAATGACTGTAGTGTAAAGCCTTTTGGGGTCCGATGGGTCTTGATAAAGCTCTATACACATTAAGTCCATTTACTATTTACCATGTAATCAGAATCTGTCTTCTGTATTAAATTTCTTCTTTTTCAGATGCTGTCTTACCATGCTACCTGCTCCAAAGTAGAAGTTGACAGGCTTAAGGTAATTTTTTAATTTAAATGATCAGAATAAATATTAAATGATCATGAAATTGTTTAGGTTCTTTCAGTTGTTATTGCAGTTGTTCCCAAAGTTGGGGTTGGGACCCACAGTGGAGTCCTGAAACATCAAGGTGGGGTCCTGAAAATATTTTCTGAATTACACTAAAAAATGCTAAAAAACTAAGAACACTGGGCCTCATGCAAAAACCATTCATACGYACAGATTTGTTCTTAAGTTGTGCGTCCGAGTGATTTAGGAGAATTTGTGGCTTTCACCAATGTTTTTGTATTCTAAGATTGCTTTCAGATACGAACAAAATTCACGAGTGGTCCAGACCTGTCGTATATTTTACGAGCAGTCAGTCTGCTGTTATCCAGACTGATTTTCCTCCCTAATAACTTTATATTTCGTTAGTTTGAAGATATTTTGAGTTGAAAATAAATCACACTCCATAATTATGTTGACAATAGGCTATTCTGCTTGAATTAGAGTTATAATTTTAAATGTAATAATTTAGACTAACAATATAAATTGTCCATCCGGCCGGCTTATCTGGGATCTGGTTGCGGTGGCAGCAGCAGACCCAGACTTCCCTCTCCCCAGCAACACTTTCCAGCTCGTCCTGGGGGACTCCGAGACGTTCCCAGGCCAGTGGGGATACATAATCCCTCCAGCGAGTCCTGGATTTTCTCCAAAGTGCCAGACACATTTTGAAAACATTTTAAAACGTTTATTTCAGAACCGCAACTGAGACCACCTGGGGGTGGGGGCTACGGTGTGCAGCGCTGCCGCTTCTGAATAAATGAAAATGATTTAACACAGTTGTTTATACTTTTAGCAGCTCTTTTTATCCCAAAGCTGACCTGCTAAAAATGGCAGGTTTTATTTTCTGGATCTCTGACAGACGGACTTCAATCTCTGAACTCGTAAAGTTCTTCTTTTTAGTTTTCGCTGTCATTTTCATGAATGGACACTTCCTTGTATCTGAGGCAGGAAACATAGCCTTATATGGTGTTTTAGGGGTGGTAATTATGCTAATCTTCTCTCGCGTGCACGAGCAGCTGGATCCGAACAGGTGGAATTTACGCAGCTCATTTACACACTTTTCCTGAAGATAGAAGAGTTTGTTGAATCTGACGTGACATGGTCGTACGAACCCTTCGTACGAACAAAAGTAAGAGAAATTTAGGATGAAAATACGAACATGTTCTTGCATGAGGCCCATTGTTTTGCCTTTGTCTTTATAAAATAACTAGATTAGTGTACTTAAAATGGACAAAAATAGCATATTAAATAATGTTACCATGCTCTTGTTTATTTGACGTGAAAACAATGTTTTTCGAGGTCTCTGCTGCTGGTATTTTGTGGGTCAAAAGCTGAAAAGTTTGGGAACCACTTGAAAAGCTATGTGTGACTGACAACTCTGTCTTCTCCCCCCATCAAGGCTGCTAAGATCCCCCTGAGCAGYGAGCTGGGCATCGACGAGTTCCACTTCAACGACTTCTCCCTGGACAGCGACGCAATGATCACCGCCTCGCTCAGGATGTTTCTGGAACTTGGTGTGGTCCAGAAGTTTAAAATTGACTACGAGGTGAGGCCCTTGGACAACACGGCACGTTCTCTGCGACGCGTCTTCAAGAGTAAAACAACAAAGTGACAAACGCGATGCGTCCTCGCAGGTTCTGTGCCGCTGGCTTCTGACTGTGAGGAAGAACTATCGAACTGTGGCGTACCACAACTGGAGGCATGCTTTCAATGTGTCACAGTGCATGTTTGTCATGATCACAGTAAGTCTTAAAGCAGATCACGGACTAAAATTGTAAATTATTTTTTTGTATTTAATAACATTTTAGAGAAACAAATATAATTAAGGGACATAAGGTTGGTCAATACTTAAACTATACAGTATTCCTGTGGACATAATCTTTTTTAGATAGGTGGCAGAAACTAGCCATCAAATCACTCATCAAGTATATTATTTCATCAATTGAAATTCTTTAAGTTTTATGAGTTGGTTGATTATAATATTTTACAAGTTATGTATAAGGGAAAGTTGTTATAATCTTAAGGGACTATCTAAGTTTTGTGTAAAACAATTCGAACAAATTTAAAAGGACAGATGTACTTCAGTCAAAGTAATAAGATTATGGAATAATCTAGATAATGACCGTAAAAATGATGGCTCAATTAATTTGTTAAAGAGAATGATAAAAGTTAAATTGTTCAAGAAATATGAAATTGTATAATTGTATTTGTAAGAGTTACTGTTTGAGGAGTTGGATTTTTTAGTTTAGTTTTATTATTTGATTACTATTGTTTGAAATTAATATTTTTTGCAAATAGGAGCAGATATAAGTTATTTTTCTTCTTCTGCTACCTTTTTTTATTTGATTAGTATTGTTTTGTTGTATGTAAATGTGTTTTTTAATTAAATGAATAAAGTTTAAAAAATAGAGGGATATAGAGACGATAAACAAAAATAAAATGAAAATATTTAAGTGTTTTTTTGGTGTAAAGCACTGAAGACAATGAACTGCTCAGGGTGATAAAATATGTCACGTTTTATCTTGTGCTGTCCTGTCCTGTCTTTTCTTGTTCATTCCCTAAGAGAGTTGTGCAAATAAATAAATTTACTACTAATAGACTTGCAAAACTGAATAAAATAGAATAAAAAAATTCTTCTAAGTAAAAAAACAGATATTTTTGCCTTTGATTTGTGCAGACAACAACTTTCCAAGACGTCCTGTCAGACGCAGAGATCCTGGCGCTGATGGTCGGCTGTTTGTGCCACGACTTGGACCACCGAGGCACAAACAACGCATTCCAAGCCAAGTAAGCCGCAGAAACCCGTGCCATCAGTGTTTGTTTTGGTACCAGAACAAATCATTTCCTGTTGTTGTCCCTCCAGGACCGGCTCGGCTCTGGCTCTCCTCTACGGGACATCAGCCACCCTGGAGCATCATCACTTCAACCACGCAGTTATGATCCTACAAAGTGAGGTCAGACTCGTTTTGATTCTCATCTAATGATGTCATATAAATCAAGGCTGGATGTGCRGTCACTGTTGGGGGAAGCTGATTCAAGTCAAAGCAGATTGTAAAGATAGTTTGGTGTCGGCCGAAAAAAGAGAGTATTACTGAGATATAACTTAAGATGAGRTGTGGTATTTATGTAAACTCAATCAAACTTTCAGGATCGAACAGAGTATTATTTAACAAGATATACCTATAAATCAGTGGTGGGTACAGTTCTGCTWACAGCTAATTAGCAAAGCTAACATTTTGTTAAGCARATTAGCATMTTTCCTAACTTTGGAAATAATTAGTGAACCAGTTAGCTTCCTCTAGTTCTGCTATCTTTAAGTCTGCTAACAAAAACAAAAGCTATTATCCTCTCAAACATGTGGCACTCCACGCCTGTGTCATGCAACTTGTGTGTGCATGTAGCATCTTTAGCATTTTGTGCRTTCACCTGCAAGACAAAGACATTTGAGTCCCTTTCGTCCAGTCAAATCTTTGTGATATGGAATAAAAGGTCATTTTGGCAGGGAAAATGCCCTAAAGCACTCAGGGAGATGTAGTTATTTAGTTCAGGGGTTCTTAGCCTTTTTCACATCAGGGCCCAATTTCTTGAACATAAAGTGACACGAGGCCCAGTCAGACATTACAAACGTATGGATCAAAATGATAATTATTCTAAATCTTGGTTTAAAATAATTATTCTAAATCTTGGTTTAATTTGTATTGTATTTGCATTATAACTAAATTAAATACACTTAAAGTTTAAAAGTAAAACTCCTGTCAAATAATCACAAGACGTGATTATGACAAACATTTTTTAACACTGTAACCTGCCCATAATAATTATTTGGACAAATACAATGGTCAGTCAACAGATCACTCAGGCT